ATGATGAATGATGATGTAGGAGGTAGAACTAGGAATCCTAGCTTCCTGCCTCACAGTTATGATCTTAGTACTTTCTACTCTCACCCCTCCCACCAAAGATAAAAGAACTTATGGAAGGGCAGTACGGAACAGTACAAAGGGCACTGGTTCTGAAGTCAAAAGACCTGGGTTTGAATCCTGCCCCTAACCTCTACTACTTGCCACCTTGGGTAAGTCCTTTAACCTCAGTGGGACTCAGTTTCCTTATCTGTAAAATGAAATTGAACTAGATTAGAATCTGTTGCCTTTAGCTGTACATCTATAATCCTCTAAATAAAGAATGAGAGTTTAGCTAATGATAGAAGTCCTGCTCTAAGTCATAAGAACACATTTTCTTAGCCAATTCTTATTTGGGGAAATGAAATTTTCTTGAAGCTAAGATCTTCATATAAGTGGAGGATAAGAGCTACGGGAAAATGTTGGGTCAAGTGTGAAATAACCTGCTTTAACATGGCAAGCAATTCTCAATGTCCTTGCCAGGAGTGATTTCACCAGCTGCTGTTTCTATTCTCTACTTCACCCCTCAGGGTTGGCACAAGACACAGTCACACTGTGCCCACACTTCTCCTTAAAGTGCCACTTTGTCTGATCAAGAGGCAGTGGTCAAACCAACCATGTGCTGACCTCTGACTTTGGGGAATTGCATTCAGAACATATGGCCCCCCTCAAATTTGTAAACTGAAGTGAAAGGCATCATCTAATTTGAAATATCACAAATGGCATCATGTTTAAAGTGGGTTCCTAATTCAATTCAATTCCACAGACACCTTTTACTAAGGACCTATTATGCTCAAGGTACAATGCTAGGCAGTGGGGTTTTAAAAAAAAATAGTTTCTTCATTTAAAAAACATAGATTCTAGAAAGATAAATATGACATCTAAGCACACAGGTAAGGCATATGCCAGTATATGAAGAAGACAAAGGAGAGATTAAAAAAATGTTCCAGAAAAAGTTGAGAAGGCTAACACTTTCACCAGAATCAGAGAATGATTCATAAAGAAATTACCATCTGAGCAGAACCGGGATGGAAGATAAGGATTCTGAAAGACAAAGAAGAAAAGGAAGTACACTTAAGTTGGGCATGAGGGTGGGGGGCAGCTTGTACATGTTCTGAGGTGGGAGAAGGCTGAAAGGGAACATAGAATGCATAAGGGAGAGTAATATGAAATAAAGCTTGAAAGGTAGAAGACAGATTTTGGAGGGTCACAAAAGCCAAAATAAGAGATTCAAATTTATTCAAGAGGCAAGTTGGTGCTTTTCAAGTCTTTTGAGCAGAGAAGAGACACAGATAGACAGCGTGGTCTTTCAGTGCAGGAAAATGTCACCACTACCAGAAATGTCACTAAGATATGAGTAAAAAGGAAAGCCATTCACATATGTTGTGAGAGGTTCTGGGAAATATCTTCTAACATCCTCTTGGCCAAAAGTATCTACCTAACAGGATTATTTGCTGAGGCCTATAACTCTATCATTAGGCAGTAATTCTTTTTGGTTAAGGTGACCATACTGCTTATCTATTTCATTTGTTTGACACAATTCCCATTGAATAGCTATCCAGTCCCAATATGAAAACCCACTATATGTCTGTCATCAGAGGTCCTCATCCTATCCTAACAGTTTTCTCATGTGTTAAATGAAGGTCCAGGGAAACATGACCTCTAGGGCCCTTCCATCCTGAAATTTATGAATATATTTAGATTTTAAAAATATTTTTCTGCAAAATATTTGTTTATTCTGATCTATTAAACAATTGATATAAAAGCACAACTTTTCCTAATGAATTATTTCACCGTTAGGGGGAAATGAATAAAATAGCACTAAGAAAAGGAAACAAAAGTTAACTGTTTGGTTATCAGAGTACAATGAGATGACATCTATATGAATTACTGTGTAATTTCTATCAGTTCCAAAAATGCTATCAAATGAATGAGGCATTAAAATCATTAAACATTACACAGCTTACACAGCTAAATAATCTTACTAGAGTTGATTAAGTCAGTAAAGCAAAGAACCATGGAATCATCAAATGAGTACCAAGATTGAGCCACAACCTTGTCTTTCTCTTCCTATGTCTTCCTCTGGATGTCTCCTTTGGAGTGCTTAAATAAGACTTGTTCAATTCAGGTAAATTTACCAAGCTTTTATTAAGTGTCTTACTATGTACCAGATTCAGTGCAAGCTTCTGACAGTGGAAACTGGTGTTGGGCTTACAAAAAAAATTTTTTTTAAATGGTCCTTGCCCTCAGGATACTTACAGTCTATTGGAGAAAAAAACACATGCATATTAGTAAACAGCAAATCTATACAACATAAATAAAAAGTAATATCTGGAGGAGCAATAATGTAGCAACTAAGGGGAATCAGGAAAGGTTTGAATAGGAGGTGGTACTTGAGCTGAGCTTTGAAGGGACCAAGGATTTCCTGGAGACAGAGGTGAGGAGCAGAACCTTCTAGGTACAAGGGGTCTACCTGTGCAAAAGCAGGAAGGTAGCAGATGAGCTGTCATGCATAGAGAATAGTAAGCAGGTCAGTTTGGAACATAGGGTATTTGAGGAAGAATAATATGTAGTCAGTCTAGAGAGACAGGTTAGAGCCAAATGGTGAAAGAGAATTCTGTATTTTATCCAATAGGGTAAACACAGAACCATTGATGCATCCAGAGCAAGTAGTAACATACTTATACCTGTATTTTAGGAATATTGAGGATATTACTAATATGGAGGATAGATGGAGGAGGCAAAGACACTTGAGATGGGGGAGATCAATTAGGTGACTCTCTCAATAGTCCAGGAAAGAGGTAACGAAGGCCTGAGTGCTGGCAACATGAGCAGAAAGAAGGGGAAAGTGAAAGTAGAATCAACAAAACTTGGCAATTAACCAGATGTGAGGTGTGGTGAGGAACAGTAAAGTGTTAAAGATGACTCTAATGATTCTATGAGCATGAATTACTAGAAGGATAGCAGTACCTTGGACAGAAATAGGAAAGCTGGGGAAGGGGAGTATTTAGGGTGAAATGTGATGTTGGTTTTGGATATGTCACTTTTGTGATATTGATGGGTCATTCAAGTAAAGATATTCATCAGGACTAACTCTTAGGAGAGAGATAAAGGCTAAATATGTAGATTTGTGAATTATTCTCAAAGAGGTGATAGTTGAACCTACGAAAACTGATGAGATGACCAAGAAAATAGAGAAAGAAAAGAACCCGAGACAGAGTGTACACCAATACACACAGAGTAGAGCATGAATGCTGATTCTACCAAAGAGACTGATAAAGAGCAGTCGGATAGTTAGGAGGACCAGGAGAAGAGCAGTTTCATGGAAACCCATGGAAACTCTCCTTAGTCTCTTTTGCTGATTCCCCCTCCAGGGAACTTCCACTAACCAAAGGTGTCCCATAGGGTTCTGTTATAGGCCCTCTTCTCTTCCTCCTCTATACTACTTCACTTGGTGATCTCATCAGCTCCCGTGGATTGAATTATTCTCTCTATATTGACTATTCTCAAATATGTCTATCCATCTCTAACCTCTCTGCTGACCTGTAGTCTTGTATCTCCAACTGCTTTTCAGAGATTTTAAATTGGATTCCAATAGACATCTTAAACTCCACATGTCCAAAACAAAAGCATTATCTTTTTCTCTAAGCTCTTTTCCTTTCCAAACTTCCTCATTACTGCTGAGAGCACCATCATCTTCCCAGGCTTGCAATGTAGGCATTATTCTTGTCTTTCATTGTCTCTCATACTCCATATCCAATCTGTTGCCAAGGCCTATCAATTTCACCTTTGCAACATCTCTCCAATATGCCCCCTCCTCTCTTCTGACTTAGCTACCATTCTGGTGCAGGACCTCATCACTTCACTCCTAAACAATTATAATAGCCACTGGTGGGTCTGCCTCTCTCAAGTCTCTCCCCTCTGTAATCCATCCTCCATTCAGCCATCAAAGCAATTTTCCTAAAGCAAAGGTCCAACCATGTCATATATACCCCCCCCCCAAACTCCAGTGCCTCTCACCTCTAGGATCAAATATAAAATCCTCTGGCACTCAAAGCCCTTTAAAACCTAACCCCTCATCCCACCCCTACCTTCCCACTCTATTCACACATTACTCCACAGCCCTGTCCACTACTGTTTCATCCAGTAACACTGGCCTCTTGGCTGTGTCACAAAGCAAGATACTCCATCTCTCAGCTCCTGACATTTTCCTTGGCTATCTCATATTCTTGGAAAATTCTGCCTCCTCATCCTTGCCTCCTGGCTTCAATGACTTCCTTCAAGTCCCAAATAAAATTCTACCTTCTATACAAAGCCTTTCCCAATCCCTTTTAATTCTAGTGTGTTCTCTCTGTTAAAGATGTCCTATTTATTTTGTTTATAATGTATTTGTTCATTTGTTTGCTTGCTTCCCCAACTAGATTTTGAGCTCTGTTGAGGTCAAGGACTATTTTTTTTTTTGTATCCTCAGCACTTAGCACAGTGCCTGGCACAGAGTAGGTACTTAAGGAAAATCATGCTGGGAATGGCATGAACCAATAATTCCTTCCTAGCTTTAGTCTAAAGTTACCACGCATCTTGAATTTTGTAGGATACTTCCTGAAATGTCAAAGCTACCTTGTCCCTCCTACAAGACATTCCTCATACCATTTAGTGTTATCTATCCTGGCACATCATTTCTAACACCATCCACAGTTTCTGAGACTCTCAACTTCATCTGAGCATCAAAGAATCATAGACCTTTTGTTATTTACATGTCCCAGTCTCCGAAACCACAGGTCTGATTGGGCTCTCCCATCTAGAGATCTTCATCTCTAAAAAGTATACAGGAATAACAGGGCCTGGTTTCTTTCCATTGTATCAGTAAGCCAGACAATTGGTTAAACTGTTTCATCAATACAACGCTACATGTACAATAGGGAATAAAGAAGTACAGACTTGCTTCTCAGGACAGATAAGTGGGTCTAGTTCATGTCTTGAAGCCAGGACACATGCCTGTATGCTATCTTTGCAGGATCCCCAAACTAGAGAACAGGTAATGAAAACTTAGGTTAGCCCAAAGCTGTACCACATAAGTCTGTCAGTTAATATCATAGGTGGGATTAAGCCTCTTGATGACCAGATCTCACCATAAATTTCTATACTACTTACCCATATCTGAAGCTTGATTCTCTTTTCATTTTTGAAGACGGTTTTTACTTTGAAGTCAATGCCAACAGTGCTGACGAATGCAGATGTGAAGGAATCATCTGCATAACGGAAGAGGAAAGAAGTTTTCCCCACACTGCTGTTCCCAATGATCAGCAATTTGAACATGTAATCAAAGTTCTGGTCCGAGGTGTCCTTCTGGCCATACCTGGAGTCCTGGGCAGAGGCCATCTGTGATTTAAAACAAAAGGGACTGTGAATGATCTGTTATAATACAAAAGACATAATAATAAACTCCTCACAGACTTCCCCAGCAGCAAACAGCACAGTACTCAGAAGGCAGCCCAAGAGGGATCCTTGTGTCTCAAAGATTCTAGTCTCCATGGCAATAATCCCTCAGTGTATCAGAAAACAGCGAAACTTTAAGGCTTTTTATTTGTTTGTTTATTTTTGCAGCTGTGCTGGTAGGTTGTTTTTGTTGTTGATGGTGGTTTTTACTGCTCAGTGCATGGAAGTCATTAGATCACCAAGGCCATGCCTACCCAGGTCACATGGAGAATAGGGATTTTCCAAGCCTGGTGAAGCGTGTAGACAAATAATCTAGGTAATTTAACTTCCCAGTCTTTCTATACCAGTATGTTTTTACCTGAATTATTTGGATGATGACTTCCACTCACCTTTCAAATCACTTGCGTAGCCAAAAGCATATCTATAATGTAACTATCTGAGCAAACACAAAAATTACATTAAAAGAGGGTCATCAAGTTAAAATTGGAAGAAACCTTTGAGGTCAACAGGTCTAGCTTTCCTCTACCTAATTTATAAGTGAGGAAACTGAGGGTTAGACAAATATCTTGCCCAAAACCACATATGGAGAGGATGACAGAAAAAAAAGAAAAGATTTAAAGCCACATCACCTGATTTCACATCAAGTGCTCCATAGGGAGATCCTAAGTTAGCATAACTATGTACTAGATGAGTCTATCAGTAAATGGTAGGAGTGGGATTGATATTCTTGCCTGTCAGATCTGACCATAAAGGAATGCCCTTTTCTAGTGATTCCAAATACACTGGCTAGCAAGTTATATGACAAACTACAGGGTTCGACGTTCTGAAGGTAAAAGCTTCTTGTATCAAACTTATGAAAAATGCCTTCAGTCCTACTTTGGTTGTTGTTATTGTTGAGTCCTTTCAGTCATGTCCAACTCTACATAACCCCATTTGGAGTTTTCTTGGTAAAGATCCTGAAGTGGTTTGTTATTTCCTTCTTCAGTTCATTTTACAGATGAGGAAACTGAGGCAAACAAGGTTAAGTGACTTGCCCAGGGTCACACAGCTAGCAAGTATCTAGGCTTGATTTGAACTCAGGATGATGTATCTTCCTGACTTCAGGCCTGGCACTCTATTTACTGTACCACCTAGCTGTTTCAGCCCTACATAGCTGCCAAATCTACCCAAGTTTGCTAACTGCCTTTGTATAGAGAAGATTCTCTCCAACACAATTTTTTAAAAAATCCCTTTGTGTCCTAGTTCTCAGATTGAGTATTTGCAAGTTTCTAAAAGTAGCTATGCAACTGGGAGAAACAAGGCATGACAAATTGAGTGAAGTTGCTACACTCCAGGCCACACCATCAATCTCTTTCCATATTCTGTCAGCTTAGGGATCCATGTAGAATATCTTTAGGTACCTTTGAAGAAAGGCTTGTCTTTAAGACCATCCCCTTCCAGGCCTTGCCTCAATCCCTGCCTTAATGCCAAAGGACTGCTCATTCTCAAGAAGTTACAAAAATACCATTCTGTCTATAACGGCATGGCCTAAGTTGGGACACTGCACTACAAATTATTGTACCTATTACTATTGAAAACCCTGCAAACTGTCAAGATTTGGGCATAAGAAGTCATACTGAAAGAATCACCTTCATTTATTAAGGGCAGATACACATATATGCAGAGGATAATGTTCTCCACACAGCAGCTGAGAAATTCTTACTGTTTTGTGATTGCATGTTTATGTCTGAGTCCATTCAAAATGTTCCTTTCAGAGAAGAAACACTGACGTTTTAATAAGCGCACCTGAAGAGCTGTGAATAATAGCTAACCCCATTTATTCCCGAGTATGTTTTCCATTGTTTTTGTTGTTTATTTCATTATTCACTCAATGAATATTTATGAAAATCCTGCATTATATGAGCAGAGCATTATGCTAGATATCAGAGGATAAGATACCATTCCTTCCGTCCCATGACAGCTTTACCTAGTAGGTAACATGACAAAAACAAGTAACTACAATGCACAAAAGCACAGAAGAAATTCATTAGAAATTTATGAAAAGGGAGCTATAAGAAGAACAAGGGGGCAATGGTCACTAAAAACAGGCAGGGGTAAGGAATGCCCTCTTGGACGAGGTGGCATTTAAGGGATGGGTAGAAATTCCATAGACAAAAAAAGGAAAAGGAAGTCATTCCAGGCATAAGAAAAGGCAGAGAATGAGGAAAGTGCAAGGTATGTTCAGAGGATAACAAATAATCCAGTTTGGTTGGAGTATAGAGTGAATGGAGGGAAGTAACAGGAGGTAAGTCTGGGCAGGTATAATTGTTGAGAGCCTCAGCTTCCGTACAAAAGAATTTGAATGTTATTCAGTAGCCATTAATGAGTCATTGAAGTTTTTTTGTGGGGGAGGGAGCATAATGGTGGTCCTGACCACACCAGTGCACAAAGAACATTAATTCACATTAATTCCATAATACCCTGTTATATGCTCTGCTTTATCATGTGATGCACCTGTGATCTCACCGAAATAGGTATTCCCCTCAGACATGCAGACAGCAACCCATCTATGCCTTCTAACTTTGTACAACTTCTGTCTAGATCCTTCTATAAATCTTCCAATGGGGCATCACCCATTGTTGTTAAGTTTTTCAAAGAATCTTAAATTACACTCTCCTCATTTCCACCTCTTAGAATACCTAGGTCATTTAATACTTATCTTGAATGCTTCTCTCTCCATGCAGACTTTCTTAATTCCATTCCTCCCCCACCCTGACAGCTTTTAGGACCTCCTCCTACCCCTACCTACCACATTTCAATTATCTTGCATCTATTTTGTATCTATTACATATGTATACTATATACATATACATGTACACAATTCTCTCTTGAAATAGAATGGAAGCTTCTTGAGGGCAGAGACTGTCTCACTTTCACTTTTTTTTTGTATTCCCAGTGACTAGCACAGAACTTTATACAAGTGGTGTCAAACTCAAATAGAAATGGGGCCACTGTATGTAAGGATCCCTGTGGCCATCTATTGACTTAGAAAACCATATATTAACATTATTTATGTTCTATTGTGTTTTAATTTATTTTATTAAGTATTTCCCAACTGTATTTTAATCTGGTTTAAAGTGCAGGGTCCCTCTCTCTTTTATGCCTTCCCCATGTTTGGTACCCTGCTATAAATTGTAGTAGGCACTTAATACTTGTTGAAAGACTGACTGACATGTATATTCATTGAAGACACCTTGCCATACTTTATTCCTAAATCTGGTTTGCATAACACTGGAATGTAACTCTTCACTAGGTCCACATATGATTATTATTTTTCCTTTCTAAGGAATCTCACTTTCGGAATATAGTCAATGTTTAGGGCAGCCTAGGTTCAGAGCAATATGGTATAATTTTAATAGCATTCAATTCAACCAAAAATACAGCCTTATTTGAAAACAAGAAAAGGTTCAGAACAATGGAATAAAAGCTGGCTCACAAGTAACCTAAAGGCATTAAGGAATGAGGCAGCTTTTATTTCTCAGGGATATAAAATTTAAAAAAAATTTGACAGCATTGAATTTCAAAGGGGATTATAAGCAATAGCTCTGTAATTTGACAGACAACCCTATGGTTCAAAAAATGGTCCAAGGCTTAAGCCATTCCTTCACATAAACATAAAACCTTCGAAACATCTTGTAAAAGAAACTTGTTTCAAAATTAAATTGGAAAATAAAGGCAGCTATTTCTCATGACTTATTAATGAAACAGCAAAGGTAGCTCTATTGTAGTGGAAGTAAATATACTGGAAAGCTAATTAAAATTAGAACAAAAACAACAATGAGGAGAAGAGGAAAGATTATACAATCACATTTTCAGAGCTGAAAGTAATATTAGATATTTCATTTAATGAAGAGTTGGACATAACTGAAACGACTGAACAAGAACAAAAAAAATCTAACGAAACTGAGGTACACAAAAGGAAAATGACTCATCCACAGTCATAGGTGTAGTCAATGGTAGAATTGAGTTTTAAACCCAGCTTGTCTGACTCCTGTTCCAGGGCATCTTACACTCTAACTTTCTAAACCTGGAGTCAGGAGTGAGTTCAGAGGCTAAATATCATGTTTGATATATTTATTAGCAGTGTGACAGTGGACTTTTCTAAGCTTCAGTTTATCATTTGTATATTTTTCACTTCCTACCTCACAGAGTTGTTCTAGGGAAACCACTTCATAAAATATTTCAATGTTTTGCAAATGTGAATTGTTTTATTGTTATAACCTTACAATCTGGAAAGGGAAGACTGATATTTCTAAAATTACGAAGGGCAGGGACAGAGTAGACATGCTCACTAAATCCTAGAACATGAGAATCTGAGACATGGTTCTTTCTGTGAAAGGATAGATAGGACTTGGAGTCAGAAAGGATCTTCAAAGCCACATATGCCAGGTCTCAACCCAAATAGGAATCCTTTCTACTATATCTTGGATTGCTTCTCATCCAGCCTCACAGTGAGGAGGACTTCACTAACCAGCCAGTCATTCAATAAAAATTTATTTAGACCCTACTATGTTCCAGCACTATGCTAAGCACTGAATGAGGCAGCCCCATTGAAATCTTTATATTGAACCAAAACAGCTTTCCTGTAACTTCTACCCATTAGTCCTCATTTTGCCCTCTTAAGTAACACAGAATAAGTCTACTCCCTCTTCCACATGGCAGGGATAAAGTTCCCTCTCTCCTATAAATTTTCTCCTGGTAAAATATCCCTAGTTCCCTCAAATATCCCTAAGTCCTACAGGACATATTGTCTAGACCCCACACCGTTCTTACCTTCCTTTGTACATGTTCCAATTTTTCAACGTCCCTCACAAAATGTGGTGCACAATAATGAACATGATCAACAAGCATTTATTATGCCACACAATGATACACTTGCTTTGGTCCCCTACTTCTAATAATGT